ATGTCTGCCTGTAAGATTCTTGCCTTCAGAAAATGCCAGTTCTGGTAGTGAACGCTTACCTACTTACCTGTGCTTGTGTTGTGCATAAAGTGACATTTTACTATCAGAATTGCCTTCCATATGGCAATAAAAAAAGATTTAGAAACTGCCTTGAACTAATGAGGATGATGCAATGAACTCTTGGTTCATGACTTTCTTTGGGTCGTCTGTCCTTTATCACACATAAGGAAATATGTATTAACATTGAATGTAGGATGTAATGTACTCATTTTAAATGTATATTTGAGATGATAAATCAAAAGCTCAAGACATTGAAATTTGTGGTGACAACTACAACATACCAAACCAGACCCGGCAAACACAATTGTGAGTATTTCAGGCAGGGGTTATAAACCGATTTCCCTACAGGGCCAGGCAGATAAGACACATGTCTTAAGCAGCCATGTATAAGACAACAGGAAATAGTGGGGCTGGGGCAAACAGCCCCTACCCTTTTTTAAAGCATTTATGTTAAAACAAAACAAAACAGAACACAATTGAGCAAACAAACACCAATACACTGTTCTGAGTAGTTCTTTCTTTTCAATTCTGGTGTCGTCCTTTGCCTGTGATTTCATTCTATGAAAAAGGCAATATAATAAACATAATAAGCTATCGGTGAAGCTTATTTATGACATTTAGGAAAAAGGATTTAAGAGTTATTAGACCACATATCATGTGATTTTTCCATCCAAGAACAGAAGGATTGGATATTATTGGAATTGAGCACTAAGGGTCATTCTTTGTTAAGAAAACAAAAGCCAAATGTAAACCTTAGAGATGGAAATGGTCAGAGAATTAAAGGTCGTCATCCTCCCACAGGTTTACATTATTGAAAATTTAGTGAGTATCTGGCTTTAAAAATGACTTCTTTGGGAAGCTGGGATTAAGAACTATTTTTTGTTTTGTTTTGTTTTACCCTAAAAGTCCTAATTTTATTAGATATGGGAAATTTTGTGGCGGGCCCTGTCTTTTGCTGTGAACTTTGTCCCAGTGTACTTGTTCTTTTATTTTAAAAAGGTTATTTCCTACTTGTACTTCATTCTCCTCTCGTAGCAAAGTTGCATTATGTCTGGGAAATCTTAAAAGATTTTGTTGTAAAACCATGGCTAAATTTTAATAATTATTTATTCTTTATAATTTGCCTCTTTTTAAGCTTTTATCTAATTTTTTCAAATTATCAGAGTCAGACTTTTTGAATCTCAAGCATTTGGCTTTCCAAGTCTTTTAAAATGTTTTCTTGTATCTTTTAGAATAGTTTTTTCTTTGTAGTCCCTATACTTGATAATTGCCAAGTAAATATTATTTTGACGTAGGCCTACAACATTTATCAACACTTCTCTATTTGTTACATTAAAGCAAAAATTCTTTACTTCAGTGTGATGCAGAAGAAAAGGATCGAATTTTGGAATAAGCAGAGAGGACTGTAAGAGATAATTAAAATTTGATTGGATTCATTCTTTTTCAGAAATGCACTTAGATAGAAAGTATAATAGTTTCATTCCTTTCACTGAACTACATCCTAGAATACCCCCCTTCACATTTCTGGGCCATTCTAATGACTGACTTTTCCACTAATCTTTAACAAGTTTGCTTAAGATTTCAACTTGCCATGAAGTATTTGCAAGCACACTAACATAAAAATGCCACTAAAGTGTTAAATCCAACACTTACTTAAATTGGTTAGATACATCACATATTCAATTTAACTTTCTCTCTGAGAAAAGTTAATAACTGGTGAAAAAGGAGAATTAAAACTATGCATATGTTTCTGTAAATGTTTTTAGAATATTAGAGAATGGCTTGTATTACTTGTTAAATATTTTATTCCCTGAATTTCCAGTTATTTTTGAGTCAGATATATTACCTGATGATTTGCTAAGTTTTTCCTTAAGAAATAGCGTCAGCAGCATGTTAATTGCCTGGTTATATTTACCCCAGATGTTTTCAAGATCAGCATGGACTGCTTCAGCAGCCCGGCTAGCTCCAAAGAAAATGAGATTTGGGTTTACAGTGTGAGCTATAATCTGATTTTTATTTTGTCTGAACCAGGTATTTAGCATAATTAGAAGCTTATTACTCAATTCCCTAGAGGAATGGCAGAAAATAGAAATGAACTTTGGGGGCATATAATAGCATAAAAGTTCAGCTGAGAATGTGAATTTTTCCACTTTTAAATTCCTCAGAGAGCAGTAACACTGCCCTGTCCCCTACCCCCAATGAACCCCGGATACTTCAAGAGTTCTTGTTACTAAGATGTCACTAGCAGAGATTCCTCTATTGACCTTTGGGCCACATCTCCTCCCTACTTCAGATTTTGAGGTGACCTAGACCTGAGTGAAGATCAGCTTCTGGTAAAGATTGCTTTGCAGGGTAAGACGACCCCTTGGTGCCTTCTTTCGGGCTGGTCCTTGGATATTTAGAGGTGACAGGCTCGATTAATTATTAATAGCCGCTCTTGCTTGGCCTGTTACTTTATCTCCACTGCAGGTCTGCATGCATACCAAAGGCAGGCAAAGCATTGACCAGGGGAAATTGATCTGGAAGTTAACATCCTCCTATCTGGGATATGATGAGATTTCCTCTCTCTCTCCCTCACTCCATTCCATCTATCTAACCCCTGATATCCCATGAGAGGAAGATAATCTTTGGTAAAATAAAGAAATGGGAACTTGGTTAGCATAATAACACATCAAAGTTGTGGAGAAGATAGTCTGTTTTGCAGATGGTCCCTTCCTAATAAAGGGAAGGATTCGAAACTTTCTCCCAGAAATACACAGTAAGAGCATGCTCATGCTCAGTCTCGCTGCAGATCCTTAAGACTAGGACTGGCACACCTAGTCAGGCCAGACGAATAGAGAAGACCAAAGAGATCATGGGGCTTAGGGAGGTAAGAAAAAGAAGGACCAGAGAAGGGATTTCTAAAGTGGATTCTGTGGGGGTTGAAGTAGACTCCATGGAAAAGGTAAGAACGTCCTTTGAACTACTTTCTGGGGTAAGTGTGTATTCATGATCAGTGAGTGGTAAATTGGTTTCATTTCTGTTATTAAACTGCACCTATGCATATTTGCAGCCACTGAAGGTGAAACTGAGGTATATAAAAATACAGGGAGATTCTAGCTTTGGATGAAAACACAGCCTACTGGCTGGACCCATGTTTTTGGGGTTTTTTTGGTAGTGAACCTCTGGAGTCAGTATCATCAAAATATCATTTCCAAGTTGAAAACTCAATTATTTCCCTTTTTTATAATAAAAAATCGAGTTTGGAAACTCTTTTTTGTAAATAGTCAGGATCCACAAGCAGATTATGCACTAGTTAAAGAGGGTAGAAGATTCATTCTGGTTTGCAAGAAGCAATTTTCCTTCTAGAGATTGTCCATTAGTCTGGGAGCAAAACTATCCCTAAACCAGCGTGCCTTAAAATGAGGTTTCTGGAGTATATTCATCAGGAACACCATGTATTCGTTAAAATGCATAGTCCTGGGCTCGAGCCAGAGGCCAAGCATGTGCATTCTTCCTGATTTCTCGTGCTTAGTATGTTTGAGTCTGTGCTGAAACAGTGCTGATCAGGTTCACATCAAGTTCCCCACTTTCTCTCTTCCATTTCCCATCTCTCACTATATCAGCGTTACATTTAAGACCCTTGTGTGTCTGTGAACTCCTAGATGATAAAATTATGGCTCTCATGTTTGCTATGATATTTCTAACATCTGTGATTGTGCTTGGAAGACAGAAGAGTTTTGATGAGCATTTGTTGAACTGGTTGAATTAAATTGAGAAGTAGCAATACAGTCACACTTATGAGAGAAATAGAGCTGTTTGCCTGAGACATGCTGTGCCAGACAGTAAGAAGTAAGGACTAAAGTCTTCCTCACAGTTAGTGCCTACCTGCTGCCTGTGAGTGGGAAACATTTCATTTGAGGAGGATGGGTGGGAGAGGAACATGAGACGATTCCTTCTATTCCATTAATTGCGGGTAGCTTTCCATTGCCCATTCTCCAGTTTTCCTGCCAGTCCTTTGTGCTGTTCACAGCTCACTGGCACAGTCATAACAGAGGGTGTATTTTGCTTTGGTCTTAGTCTCACTGCTAAGGGAAAAAAAGCAGTGTTGTGTGTTTTCCCAGGGAGATGCTGTACCAGGACACTTTTCCCAAAGGACCCTAGCTCTGATTCTTTATATTTTTATTGCTTTAGTTTTGTTTCCTTTCTATCCTCGCTAATGTTAATAAAATGCATGCCATAAAAATAGACTCCTGAGGACATGAAAGGACAGACCTCACGGCCGTTTCTCTGCGGGCAAAGACTCTGCTCTCTAGTCCCCTAACATTGTTGGGTTTGAAGGTGGCCCTCCACGACACCTTTCTGTTCACAACAGAGCTGCGCAGGTCCTCTCCCTGCCGTGACAAGCCTCTGTCTGTTAAGAGGATGATGCTAAATTCTTTCACTGTCTAGATTGTGCTCCTCTCTCCCCAGCTGTTATCAGGAGTGTCTAAAAACAGTATTCTACAGCTGTGTGACTGTCGTGACGACTGCTATCTAATGGGAAGACATTCAGTGTTTGCTTCTGGACACTTCCTTTGTTTTGTTTCTTTCCAATACGAACATTAAAGGATACATTCAAACCCATGAATGAACTTGAACTTTGCCAGTGAGGAGACTACCTGGATTCTGGACTTTACCTTGATGACACTTAATAAACTTTTATTATTCTCTTATTGGTAATCTTTACAAATCCTCATCAGAGACTGCAGGAGTGATGCTTCTTAGGGTTTCTTGTAAACATTCTGGAAGGTCCTTGACCTCTTGGGAAGGACAGAGTCTCCGCTCAGCTTCCAGCTGCTGAATCTTCCTTTCCTTTTCCTCTAAAACTTCTTCCAGCTGAGTGATCTTCTCAGTCTGAAGGGAAACCTGGGTTGACAACTCCATAATCAGGCTAATGTTTCTATCACCTTCTTCCACAGGTGGGAGATCTCCACAGAACTCTTCCATCAAGTTGTCTTCTAAAGCAAACAAGAAAAGGAAAGCCTGAGAAGTTTTAATTGGATTTCCCAGAACTCAAAGAGAGGAAAGACACAAAAGATTCATTTCTCACGTTCTTAAAAGAGAGCGCGGATGTTACATCATCTGGTTAGATACCCTGAGAATAAAATCTGGACCCAGCGAGGGGAAAGATTCTGGGTGCTCATGAAAAAAGAACTTGGAACTCTCTTGAGAATAAGGAGAGTCAGCCCTGCCAACTCTTTTTTATACACATTTAACTTCCAATTAACCATGGGAATGAGCTGTCCTTGAAAATCCAATCTACAAACAACAGTCATCCCAAGTTTCATGTTATTCCTTCCCTTAAGAATCTTTCACAAGAGCTACATCAAGTAGAATTACACTTCAATTTGAATTTTAATTCGATTAAAAAAAAAAAATAAGGCCGGGCGTGGTGGCTCACGCCTGTAATCCTAGCACTTTGGGAGGCTGAGGCGGGCGGATCATTCAAGGTCAGGAGTTCGAAACCAGCCTGAGCGAGACCCCGTCTCTACCAAAAATAGAAAGAAATTAATTGACCAACTAAAAATATATATACAAAAAATTAGCCGGGCATGGTGGCGCATGCCTGTAGTCCCAGCTACTCGGGAGGCTGAGGCAGTAGGATCGCTGAGCCCCGGAGATTGAGGTTGCTGTGAGCCAGGCTGACGCCACGGCACTCACTCTAGCCTGGGCAACAACAAGTGAGACTCTGTCTCAAAAAAAAAAAAAAAATAGGTTGTCTTTGCCCTTTCTGGAAAGTGATGATGAGAAAAGACTAATTTCTTAACCTGAGTCAGCTTTAGAGTTGGCAGGGGTGTAAGTTGAAGTGATTCAGGAAAACTCTATTAGCATGGTATTGTCCATAAGATTCATTTCTTTTAGGGTCTGACAGCTTCTCAGCATTTCTTAATAAAGTCACAAATACCTCTTGGACATGGAAACATTATCAATTTCTATCAGCTAACCCCTCAAATAAGAATAAAGGCCTGAGAAAGGAGGGAGAGAGAGGCTCCATAAACGATAGGGAGTCCTTGAGAACAAACCTCACTGGCCCCTCAGACAGCTGAGCTCCTCAAAGCAAACCCCGTCTGGCCAGCCGTTAGCAGCAGCGTCCTCCCGGCCACTCCTGAAATTTCCATCATTACATTTATCGGAGCATATAAAAGGCAGACTTAGGTATAAATAGTAGAGATGTCAAGGGCTTGGGTATCATTTCAGGAATAATGGCTCTAAAAATGTACGAATGAGCCTGACCTGTGGTCTCTACCGTTGATTGCTGTACTCGAAGCGATCAATAATCCAGCACACATGCAATCCCCAGTGAAAACAAATCCCACAGCTGTACCTGAGAGAACCATGACTGTCAGCTCTGGGTACCTGCTGTGCCTGCTACCGCGAGTGCCCACACGCCTGCTGAAGGTGGGCAGTTTGGCGTGGCAGTGCACGCACACAGGAAACACCCTCTTCCCAGCAAACGGAGTTCACTGGCAGCCGTCAGTTCCCAGGAGAGCACTCCGCGGACGCTGGAGCGCCAGACTGCCGTCGGCAGGATGCTTTTGGCTCCACAAAGTGATCAGAGGAGAGATCAGGCTATTCTCTGCTCTTAGAAATTATTATCAGTTATTTATTAAATTGTAAGAATCCATGGAAAAATGTTTGTTTTGAATTTTTATTCCAGTATTTAAAGTTCTAATCATATTTAAGGAGATATTTGTTGGTTTGGGCAGCTTTTATAGGTTAGATAAGACCAATGAAAAAAATCTCAAATTTCGAAGGAACATTTAGTTCATTGTCTTTGCAATACACCTGAGCTTTCCAGACCCGGAGAGAGGCCATATGGCAGGAGACCCTCCTCATCTGCTATGTGACATGCCAGGGTCTCACCTTTCCTTCCATATGGCCAGAGCTGTACTGTCCAATATGGTAGCCACTAGCCACATGTGACCATTAAGCAATTGAATGTCACTAGTCTGAATTGAGATTGCTATAAGTATAAAATACATATTTGATTTGGAAGATTTAGTTTAAAAAATGTGAAATAAAGACCCTGAATATCAAAAGCAATTCTAAGCAACAAAAACAAAATGGAAGGTATTAATATGCCAGATATCAAACTATACTACAAAGCTGTAGTAATTAAAACAATCTGGTATTGGCATAAAAATAGGAATATTGACCAATGGAACAGAACTGAGAATCCTGATATAAAACCATCCTCATATAGCCATCTAATCTTTGACAAAGCAGACAAAAACATATGCTGGGGAAAAGGATCCCTTTTCAATAAATGGTGCTGGGAAAACTGGATAGCCACTTGTAGAAGGCTAAAGCAGGACCCACTCCTTTCACCTCTCACAAAAATCAACTCACACTGGATAACAGACTTAAATCTAAGGTATGAAACTATTAGAATTCTAGAGGAAAATGTTGGAAACACTCTCCTAGACATCTGCCTAGGCAAAGAGTTTATGAAGAAGTCCTCAAAGGCAATCAAAGCAGCAACAAAAATAAATAAATGGGACATGATCAAACTAAAAAGCTTCTGCACAGCCAAAGAAACAGTCATGAAAGTAAACAGACAACCTACAGAGTGGGAGAAAATTTTTGCATCCTACGTATCCGATAAGGGGTTGATAACTAGAATATACTTAGAACTTACGAAAATCAGCAAGAAAAAAAATCAAATAACCCTATTTAAAAATGTGCAAAGGACTTGAACAGAAACTTTTCTAAAGAAGACAGAAGAATGGCCAACAGACATATGAAAAAAATGCTCAACATCTCTAATCATCAGAGAAATGCAAATCAAAACCACAATGAGATATCACTTAACTCCAGTGAGAATGGCCTTTAACAAAAAGACCCCGAACAACAAATGCTGGCGTGGATGCAGAGAGATAGGAACACTCCCACACTGCTGGTGGGACTGCAAACTAGTTCAACCTGTGTGGAAAGCAATTTGGAGATACCTTAAAGCGATACAAGTGAATCTACCATTTGATCCAGCAATCCCATTACTGGGCATCTACCCAAAAGATCCAATGACACTCTACAAAAAAGACACCTGCACCCGAATGTTCATAGCAGCACAATTCATAATTGCAACACTGTGGAAGCAGCCCAAGTGCCCATCAATCCAAGAATGGATTAATAAAATGTAGTATATGTATACCATGGAGTACTATTCAGCTTTAAGAAACAATGGTGATATAGCACATCTTATATTTTCCGGGTTAGAGCTGGAACCCATACTACTAAGTGAAGTATCCCAAGAATGGAAAAACAAGCACCACATATACTCACCAGCAAACTGGTATTAAATGAGCAGAAGCTAAGTGGACACATAGGTACTATAGTAATAGGGTATTGGGCAGGGGGTGGGTGGGTATATACATACATAATGAGTGATATGTGCACTGTCTGGGGGATGGTCATGCTGGAGACTCAGACTTTTAGGGGGAGGAGGGAAAGGGCATTTATTGAAACCTTAAAATCTGTACACCCATCATATGCCGAAATAAAAAAATATGTGAAATATCATTAATTTTTTTACATTGCTTATGTATTAAAATGACATTTTGGATATATTGTGTTAAACAAAATATATTTTGAAAATAGTTTCATTCATTTATTTTTACATTTTTCAAATGTAGCTAGTTGAAAATTGCAAGGTGGCTGTGGGAAGACACTGAGGAGGAATGGAGATGCGGCACGGCAGGGGACAGGGGCCTTGGCGAGGCACAGGGTTGGGGCACTGGGATCCTCTCTCCTCAGACGTGCCTGTCTGCCATCTCTGTTCTCTTTGACCTCTCCTTCCACCTCTTCTCTCCCCAGTCTTTCCTCTGCTTTCAGAAGAAGTTATTTTGAACCAATTTATAAAATGAAGGATTTTCATACCACTTCTGGTCAAACTGGTCAACAAGTTTTTTTTGTGTGGATAATGAAGTATAGGTAGAATACGTTGTTCACCTAGTGATAAAGTGGCAAAAAAGGCAGCAGGTGGCATACACAGGCAATCACAGTCGCTGGGCTTGCTACCTCTGTCTGGAAGAGAATGATAGAGGAAGAAGGTAGAAAGAAAAGGAAAAGGAGAGGAGGGGAAGCAGGTGTCTTAGTGTGCTCAAGCTGCTATAACAAAACACCATAGACTAGGTAAATTAAACAACAGAAATTTATTTCTTATAGTTCTGGAGGCTGGAAGTCCCAGCTCCGGGCGTCAGGATGGCAGGCGGCAGTGAGGACTCTTTCAGGGCTGGCTTCTTGCTGCACCCCCACATGGCTATGAGAGAGAGACCAACACTCTCTCGTGTCTCTTCTGATAAGGGCACTAACTCCACCATTAAGGCCCCACTCTTATGACCTTATCTTAGCCTAATTACTTCCCGCAGGCCCCCGATGTGAGCACATTGGGGATTAGGGTTGCAACACATGAATTTTCGGGGCACATGGTTCAGTCCAGAGCACAGGAAGAAGACAATTGGAAAAAGAGTAGAGCAGGAACATGAAGCTGAAAAAATGAGAGCTGGCACAAGAGCTTGGATTCTCACTGTACTGTCTTCATGTATGAAGTGAAAATGCTGTAGGGAGACAAACTAAAGGTGATGGACACCAAAAGAGGGAATTTCCCATACAAATATATTTTACTATTAGACAATTTTCTACACAACATTTTTGTTCCATTTCTAAAGACATTACAACTAACAGAATGTTTTAAAAATCTTCAACAAAGTAGAGAACTCCAAGAGCGTCACTTCCTATTTGTATTGGAGAGTGTCCGAGGTGAGCCCAGCGAGTTCCCGGGCTCCACCACTAACCAGCCTGCTTCTCTCCGCGCCCAGGCTCCCTCGTCTGTGACAGGAAGGGCGTGCGCCCAGGCCATGCTGCCTGAAGCCTGGCGGTGCTGTTATCTGACCAGATAATCTCAGCCTCAACTCCACACCCAGACACTCCAGGTGACCCAGAGATTGCAACAGGAAAGGCTCTATCATGCGTGTGAGAGAGGGGACAAACCTGATTCTCCACAGTCGGTATGAGCTCATCACTCTCGCCACGACTGCGGAGGTTCTCACAAGCACTCACCGTTTTTGTCATTTCCCTCCTTCTGCCTTTGCTTGAGACAGAAATGAGGCAGGAGTGAGGATGAGGGTTTAGGGTTATGGCAAAAAGGTGACAGGAGAGGGTGGTGGAAGTTGAACAGAGTTTGAAAAATTTAGAAAGAGTGGAGACAGTAGATTTCTGCCTGGGACTGGACAAGCTCTGTCACTTTTCTATGTCAGCCTCGAAAGACCACAGGTCTAGAAGAAGTTGTGACATTTGTCTTTGGCCATTTCTAGCTTCCCATTCGTCACACCCTCAAAATCTTCATGCTTTTAGTGAAGTGCCACAT